CCAGCCTGGGCAAGAGCGAGACCCCATCTCTACTAAAAAGGAAAGGAAAGGAGAGGAGAGGAGAGGAGAGGAGAGGAGAGGAAGAAAGAAAGAAATTGGCCAACTAAAAGTATATAGAAAAAATTAGCCGGGCATGGTGGCACATGCTTGTAGTCCCAGCTGCTTGGGAGGCTGAGGCAGAAGGATTGCTTGAGCCCAGGACTTTGAGGTTGCTGTGAGTTGGGCTGACATCATGGCACTCTAGCCCAGGCATGGGTTAGAGTGAGACTCTGTCTCAAAAAAAAAGAAAAAAAAGAGAGAGCCTATAAGTCATCCACAGTCTTTGGCACAGAATTCCCCTCCTGAGTCCTCGCCCTAAGAGACACGATCTGAAATACAGGAAGAACGTTTTACGCAATGTTCATTGCAGTGTTCATAATGGCAAAAACTGGAAGCAGGCGGATGTCCATCAACTGGAAAAGGGAGGAGTCGACTGTGTATTTAACGGAATACTCCATAACAACACAGTAGGCGGCTTCCAGTGCATCATTAGAAGAAAAACACAGGACACAACTGAAGATGGACTAGGCTGGGGAGGATTATGGCTATGCAACAAAAGAGAAAAAGGAAAAAAGGTAGAAGGAAACATGCCAAACTCTCAACCATGCTCAGCAGTCATTTTTTTCGTCTTCCATTTTCCAGAATCTCTGTACTATGTTATTACATTTGTAATTTTTTTTTAAGTATTATTTTAAACAACAACTGCAATGCAGCACTAATAAACCCACACACTGAGCAGTAAAGGAGAGGAGGAGGAACAGGAGAAAGAGGGCAGGTCAGGGAAGTAGTGGGAAAATCAGGAGGAAGGGTGTGGTGTCATGGAGACCCAACAAAGAGTGGACGGCAGGAGTCGGGAGCCCAGGCTCATGTGGCCAGGAGCCATGAGTGACCCAACGCTTGCCCCTATGTCCCCCAACTGCATTCACAATGCAAACCAGGTGCCAAGAAGGATCTGATGATTGACCCCCCACGCCCTCCCCACTAAGACATCTGAAAGAGTGCCCTACCATGACCAGTGTCCCCAGGAGCAGCATTTACAATGCAAACCAGGGACCCAGGAGAAGCAGTAACACACTACACCTGTGGTCATCCACCCCTAGCCCAGTTCAGGCAAAACAGAAGAGACCTCATATACAAACCCCTGGTCAGAATTTCCCCATCCTCAGGATGGGACTGTCTTGGTCCATAACATTTACCAGTTCTACCACCTGTGTTTCCACAGGAACTAACATACCACCCCCTACCCACACATGCTTTGGGGCCCATCCTTCAGCCTCTTTGAGACATGTCCCCTAGATTCTGTGCCTCCTTGATGTAAGCTACACAAGTATGTCCAGAGTCCCATCCTCATTGACACATATTCACCCACCCCCCCACATACACCAGCCTTCTTTCTTATCCACAGAACACCTCCTCCTCCCTCTCTCTGCCTACCTCATCACAGACCTCAGGCAAACCTGAGCAAAGGAGAGAAGGTCCCCCAGAAATTCATGCCTGACTCCAATGTCCCATCCCTGCCTCCCACCGTACCCATGACGGACAGTGGCCAGGTCTGGGCTGCTGCCTCTCAAGCCCAGAGGTGGAGGGAGCCTGGGTCACAGAACTAAAAACTAAAAACTAAACCAGGTTCTGAAGGCCAATGACCCCAGAAGCCACCTCTGACCCTCAATCTGGTGAGTCAACAAGAAGCAGGGCTGAGTCACTACCAGATGTACCCCCGCTACACCCCCTTCTAAGAAAACTGACATTGCTTTCTGCTGTTGACAGCCCAGATGTATGGGTCATCCTCTGGGTCAACCTGCGGTAATGAGCATTGCTGGGCTAAGACAAAGCCAGTACCAATTAGGCTGCCCCCTTTCCTGCCAGTGAGCTCAGTTTCATTACTTTGCTCCACTTTCAGCTCATCTGAAAAATCCTCATTTGAGGTCCCTGGAGGATCTTAAGAGTGTTATTCAAACATTAGCTCTGACACACAGCCTCCCCCATCCGACCAAGGCAACACTTTTTTCTCCCTGCTTTTTGGCCCTGCCAGGAACGAGCAGCATGTAAGGCCTGGCATGTGACACCACAGCTCCTACAGCCTAGGGCCCCTCCTCAGTCTGGACTTTCACTACCTCCCTGCCTTTTATAGGAGAGCAGGGAAGGGGACTTGGTACCTCCTACATGGTGGGCATGTTGTCTTATTCAACTTTGGCACCAAACTCCATGAGGTATCATACATGTGGAAGCTATAGCTGAGCCACCCTCCCAAGGTCACCTAGACAGTGTGTAAGCCAAGTGAGGCCTGGAACCCAGGACTGCTGAGCTCCAGGGCCCTTCTGACCACCCCGCTCACCCCAGCACGCTCTGTTCTGCATGCTGCCCAGCCCCCCACCCTGCAGCAGAAATGGGGCCCCCATCAGTCATTACTTCTTGGCTTATTACCCTGAGCCTGAGTCCAGGTGAAAGAGATGAGGACAAGAAAGGCTGCAGGATTTGGGGCTTCTAGGAAAGGCTTCAGAGAACACAACTTCCCTAGGGAAAAAATAAAATAATACTAAAATCCGGTTGCACCCCCTATTCTGACCTGCATCTTACAAGGTAATCTATAAGAGAGGACATGGCCAGAGCCTTGCAAAAGGCCAGATGAAGACTATGGACAGTCAAGAGGAGAGAATCTGGGCTATGTGGTCAGGGAAATTGGAGCTGGAAGTACTAGAGAATTTAGCAAAGCCTGATGCCTTTATCTTTACAGATAGGGAAACTGAAGCCCAGGGAGGGGAAGGGACCTGCCCAAGGCCAAGAGTGAGTCTGTAGCTGTGTAAGGATTACAATGTAGGCCCTCTGATTCTTAGGTTAGCATTCCTGGACCTATAAGAATGAAGGCCCTGGAGCAGATGCTGTCTGGGATAAATGAACAAGTGAATGAACAAGGGGATCCATCACCTCTAGGACTGAGGGTGTGGAGCACAGACACTATGTGGTGTGTCCATGGGGCTCCCAGGCTGGCTGTAGTCTCTCACCTCATGAAAGGTATAGGCAGAAGGGAGGCCCTTCCATTCACCATAGCTCAAGCTCTACCAGGAGCCAATCAGGGCTCCGGAAGGAGGCAGAAACTTTGGTTTCCCTGGCAACAGAGACAAAGGCATCTCCTCAGTGCTACAATCAGCTGGAGTTGGGATGTGGGCTGTATTCCACTTGACCCAGACAGGGCTCTCTTATCCTTTTCTCTTAAAGAGCCAACGCTTTTGGTTTTAGCCCCCAAACTCCAGTCATGCCTCTGGGGCTATCTCAGATCAGGAGGCAGGGAATGGATGAGCCGCAGAGTTGGAGTCCTAGAACAATAGTTGACCTCTTCCCATCTGCGAGACCCACCCACTGCCACTAGGTGTGTGCCTCTGAGGTGGGCCAGAGGCCTGTGCAGATATTCACCAGTTCGTCACCCTCAGACTCCTCTACAGAGGTAGTGCCAGCTGCAGAATCATGCAGAGCCTATAGCTGAAAGTGAGGCACTGGGCATTCACCCACAATGGGACCTGAGGAAGTTTCATCCCCTTTCTCTTGGGGCCTCACTGTCCCCATCTGTAAAGGAAATTGGACTGGAAAATCGAAGACCTAGGTTTCTCTGGAGTGTGGGCTCCCAGTCCATGCCCATCAAGAAAATAATGGAGAGAGGATAAGGGCAGGAGCTCACCTTATACCACTTTTGAAAAGTTGCCTAGAATCGGCTGGGCGCAGTGGCTCATGCCTGTAATCCTAGCACTCTGGGAGGCCAAGGTGGGCAGATCGCTCAAGGTCAGGAGTTCGAAACCAGACTGAGCAAGAGTGAGACCCTATCTCCACTATAAATAGAAATAAATTAATTAGCCAACTAAAAATATATAGAAAAATTAGCCAGGCATGGTGGCGCATGCCTGTAGTCCCAGCTACTCAGGAGGCTGAGGCAGAAGGATTGCTTGAGCCCAGGAGTTTGAGGTTGCTGTTAGCTAGGCTGATGCCATGGCACTCTAGCCCAGGCAACAAAGTGAGACTCTGTCTCAAAAAAAAAAAGAAAAAAAGTTGCCTAGAATCCAGAAAACTTGCCTAGGTCCAGAGCCTTAGAATACACAAAACATTCCACTAATTGGAATTGCCTCTTTGTATATACTTTGAAAAAAGTCACAAGAAAACTGAACAGCTTCCAAATAAAATCCCCCGATTTGTCACCTGCAGGCCAAGCAGCCACCCCCTCCCCTTACCCAGTCCCTAGGAGGTGTGTACACAATGTCCCCATGGCGGGCCTGCCTTGTCCTTAGAGGAGGAGGCATCACACAGATATTTTACAAAGATTTTCCACGCTGTGAGTCAGGAAAAAAAAAAGAGAGAGAGATTTCTCAGGAAGCTTCTCAATTCTCCAAAAAGTCAAACTACTCACATCAAAACCCACACGCATTGTCCATGCTTTCAGCTTTATAATCCCTCAGCCACCCCACTGAGAAACCCTGCAGCCAGCCAGCACACAGCTCCTTTCTTCCCCGCCCTTTCCCCACACCCATCAGGCTGCCCACTCTCCCTCTTCACTCACTCTCTGACCTAGTCCCTCTTCTCCACTCCCATGTGCCTGAGGTTAGGCCCATTACTTCTCACCAGGCCACACCAACAGCCTGCCCATTGTTCTCCCGGCCTCCAGCCTTGCCCTTCCAATCAATCCTCCCACTGCCAGAAATCTGATCACATCCTTCCTAACCAAATGCCCTGCAGTGTCCTCATCACTCTCCAGATAAAGTTCCAGCTCCTAGACCAATATACATGTGCTGCCGGGTCCAGACCCCACCTGCTGCTCCATTTGCCTTTTTCCATTTTCGACACACAGAGGAAACTCCCACCATCCAAGGCACACTCCTGTTTCATGCCTCTGCACTTTTTTCTTTATATTTGTGGTTCCTTCTCCCTGGAATGCCTTTTCTAAATCCCCCACTGTTGAATGAAAGATAACCACTAACCTTTACTGAGTGCTCAGTATGTGACAGGCTCTCTGATAAGTCCCTTGCATGAGCTACCTCATTAATCCTCACCAAGACAACTAGGAGGCAGGTACTAACAGCAGCCTGTTTACAGACAAAGAACCAGAATCAGAGATGTGAATGAACCTGGCAGAAGTCACATGGTTGATAAAGGGAGGGACCTGAATATAAATCTAAGCATCTGACTCTTAGGTTACCCCTATCCTCTGTCTGCCCTTCCCCCTGCCTCTCGCCTCCTCCAACCCACAACCCCCTGCCCCCACTCTGGGAACAGTGCAGTGGCCACATGAAATCAGAAAACATAGCATGTTCTCAACTGTGTCCCCTCCTTCTGGGCCTGTGGGAATAGCCCATCTCAGAGAATGACACCAGATAAGGCCAACCCTGTTCCTCTCTGGGTTTTTCCCCACAATGGCCCTTGTCACCATTCAGCATGGTCCCTCTGAGGATACAAAGTGGTTGAGCCCATACCCCAGAAGTAGAGCTTTATAGTTACATTAATGGCCAAGCAATGATTTCTAGCTAGTGTCTTTCAGGAAGTCTAAACTCTTTGAGCAAGCATCAGAGACAGCCAGAATCTGGCACCAGCTCATCTTTTCAACCTTAATTGCCTACTGCATCCCCTCCTACCTCCATTCAATAAATTGGTGGGTATTTGCCATCTCTGCCATGTTAGTTCTCACTAAAAGCTGCCATTTACTGAGCATCTCCTAAGAGCCATCCCTAAGCCAGGCATTCAACCAGCACCCTCTCATTTCCTTACAACTCATTCATTCATTCATCCAAATACTTACTGAATACCTACTGTGTGCCATGCAATATGGAGTCAAGAGTGAACAAGACATTTGAAAAATAACAGCAAATTGTGATAAGCATTATGAAGAAATCAAGAGATGGTAGCAGAAAGCAGTGTTGGGGTGGGGGACAAGGCTGCAAAGAGCCAGAGAAAGAATTCTAAGCAGAGGGAACAGCATATGTAAAGATCCTGAGGTTGGAAAGAATTTGTTAAACAGAGAGAAGAATCCTGGGGGCTGTAGAGGGAAAAGGCAGGGACCAGAGACCTGTAAGCCATGGTAGTGAGTTTAAATGTTATTCTTTTCTTTCTTTCTTTCTTTTTTAGAGACAGGGTCTTGCTCTATTTCCCAGACTAGAGTGCAGTGGCGCAATCATAGCTCACTGCAACCTCAAACTCCTGGACTCAAGTGATCCTCTTGCCTCAGCCTCCCGAGTAGCCGGGACTACAAGTGTAAACCACCATGCCTGACTAATTTTTTTATTTTTTGTAGAGACAGGGTCTCACTATGTTGCTCAGGCTAGTCTCAAATTCCTGGCCTCAAGCAATCCTCCTACCTTGACTTCCCAATGTGCTAGGATTACAGGCATGAGTCACCACACCCAGCCTAGATTTTATTTTAAGGGCACAGGAAAGACACTGTGACATAGTCAGATTTGTATTTTAGAAAGATCACTCTAGCTCTTACTTGGAAAGGAGACTTGAGAATGTAGATCATGCATGTAATGTATGCAAAGTAACTGGCATAGCATAGGCACTCAGTAAGTGTTGATTTCCCTCTCTCTCTCTCTCTCTCCTCCAACCCAGGCTGGGAATGTCCTCTTTATCTAACTCCCACTTCTCTTCTGATCTATACATTTTTGGAACTTAAACTTTCTGAGGACATGTGACCTGTATAGTCTTCCCATTAGATAGGGAAACTATGGTCCAGAGAAAGGATACAATTTGCCCAATGTCACATGGGGTGCCACAGCAGTGGTGGCACTTTCCTGCCTTCCCCCCTTCCCCTGAACAGGAACTGGGCTGATCTGAAGGTCAAGAGGAAGAGGAGGCAATAAGCGCTGGGGCCTTTCCTCTGGGTTCTTGTTCTCTACCTCTACCCTTTCCCCTCCCATCATGGAGATGCTCAGAAAGCCTGGTGCTCAGGGTACGTGGTGGGGGCGAGGGGGCCTAGAGAAAGCCCCACCTCTAGATATACTCTCTCCTTCTGCTTGAGCCAGATGAGGGCAGGCCAGACTATAGAAAGAAAACATTTCCCATGGAGACTGAATACTTGCTAGGGTTTAGCTAATCCTGTCAACATGCCCAGGAAGCAAGCAAAGGCAGAGGCATTCATTTTACCATCCAGAGCCTGAGGCAGTCAGTGCTCTATGGTTTACTTGGGATGGAGAGAAAATGGCAGAGCTCTAAATAGCATCATAGAATGTAGCTGTCTAAGGATCCCTGACCCCAAAGCCCCATTGTACAGATGAAGAAACTGAGGTGCAAGAAGGGAAAGGGGCTTACCCACTGTCACATACCAAGTTAGCAGCAGAACCAGGACTAGAAATCTGCGTGGCTTCTGCTTTCCAGCTCCCAGACGGCCTCCCTTGAGAAAGGCGGAAAAGGTTGCAGAAGTGAGGCTGGGATTTGGGGGCAGGGGGCAAGGACAGGGCAATACTGCCTCCTCAGCCCTGCCCCACCCCATCTCCCAGCCCTCCCACTGCTCACGGGTGTGGCAAAACCTGCCAAACCAGTCCCTGCACGGGGCCAGGTGGCAGAGCCCAAAGCTGCAGGGGTGTGGGTGAGACTGCAGACACCAAGAGGATGGGAGCTCACAGCTGAGCGGCTCCATCACCAGGAATTAGGCACATCAGGATTCACCAGGTCTCTTGTCCCAACAGGCACAAGGGCCTGCCCTCTGCTTCCCCTCCTCCTCTGGACACTCAACCTGTCTGTTGTCTGTGTCACTTGAGCAAAAGACTCGGAAACTTATCTGAGAAACATGACAGGAGGCAGGGAAAGGTGACAAAGTAGAGACACCTCTCCCCTCCCAACCACAGCACCAGAAATGAAGTTCCACCACACCCTCCACCTGGCCAGGTACACACATGCTCTACCCTTTGCCCTACCTGACCTCAGTGAGCAAGGTCCAGGAAGCAGCTGAACACATGAGGCACTTGTCGGGAAGGGATCCGGATATCTGGGTCCCAGCAGTGCTCTGTGCAACACTCAACATAGACTTGGGGAAACCTGCCCTTCTCAGGCTTCAATTTCACCACCTTTCCTGTGGCAAGGCTGGGTCAACTCCATAGTTTAAGGGGGACTTAAAAATCTGCTCTCACACTACCTCCACCCCAGTCTTCCCCACCTCCCACCCAAAGGAAAGCATAAGAGGTAACACACCAGTGTGGGGGGCCCTGCTGGACAGGACTAGCTTCTGAGTCAGGGGCTGCTTTGCTGGAACATGTTCCATCAGCCAGCTGGAGGCCTCTCAAGTCAGATTATGGGGGAAGCTGATGCCTACCCAACATTTTCCTGGTGCTCAGGGCCCAGCTCAGAAATCACCCACAGGGCCTGTGAGCCTCAGGAGCCAACTGGTAGGCAGGAAGGGACCTTGGTAGGAAAAGACCTTGGCATCAGCCTAGGCCCCTGTTAGACATGACACATAGGCCAGACAAGTGTCCCACAAACGTCAGGGACTCGTATCTCAACCAATCCTCTCCTTTGGTAGATGGGGAGGAGAAGGACCAGAGAGAGGCAGGGTCACACAGCAAGGCCATGGCAGAGGTGGGACAACACCCAACCCTCATCCCCCAGCCCAGGACTCCCAGCACATGCCACCTCCCACAGCAGAGGCATTTTTCCAAATTCAAAATCATGCATACCATAGAGTAACCAAGAGAAACCTTTCTCACTACCCCTTGGGAACTGTCAGAAAATGGCACAAAGTTCTGCTCCTTAATATCAATCAGGTGTTCTTAGTCTGTTCAGGCCACTATAACAAAATACCACTAACTGGGTGGCTCATAAACAATAAAAATTTATTTCTCACACTTTTGGAGACATCAAGGTTCAAGCCACCAGCAGATTTGCTGTCTGGTGAGGGCCTGCTTTCTGGTTACTAGATGGTGCCTTCTAGCTTGTTGTCACATGGTGGAAGGGGCAAGAGAGCTCTCTGGGATCTCTTTTATAAGGGCACTAATATCATTTGTGAGTGTGGAGCCTTCATGACCTAATCACCTCCCAAAGGCCCTATCTCCTAACACCATCACTTTGCTGGTTAGGATTTCAACACATGAGTTTTGAGGAATACAAACATTCAGACCACAGCATGTGTTTACCTGCCGTGTTTGCCTCTGTATCTCAGCACATGGCACAGTGCCTAGTGTATGGTAGGAACTCAATGAAAATTTGTTGACTAAATCATGACTCAGTAGAGGAAGAACTGGAGGCAGAATTCATTTCTAGGCCCAAGCACTTAAGCTGGGGTAAGAGAGCAGGAAATAGACAGAGAGAAAACATGAAGCTGGCTCTCCAGGGCACAGATCCAGCCAGGCTGTATTGAACAAGGAGGGATGCTATTGGCCCAGAGCTTCAGAAATCCTAGGCCCAAAGGTGAGAGGCAGGTTGCCCCAGGCACACTGAGTGTATAGACTTCAAGGCCTGTGTGTTTCTATGACTTGGCAAGGCCACCAAGCCTGTCACTCTGTGCTCACTTGCCTTCTGAAATTTACAGAGTGAAAATCAAGGTGAGCAACCATCACCTACTTCCCTGTCAATGCTGCAAGATCCAGAGGCTGATCCCTGCAGCACCTCTGGCTAGGAGCTGAGCTCCCAAACCATGAAGACCTGAGCTGAAGTCATGGATGAGCCACTTGGCCTCTCTTAAGACTCACTCTCTTAAGACTGCATTTATAAAATGGAGATATTGACAGCCTTTCCTGCCTTCCTTAAGGAGTATTTTGAAAGGCACATACAGCGATGGAAACACGCTTTGTAAAGTATCAAACAGATATGAGATTATGTTTCGGTGATTGAAATCAGTGAAGGTAATTGCAAAGGTCAAAGGGCATGATCCCATATTTTATTTACTGAAATTGTGTTTGGAAAATTACTTTCCTAGTCTGGGTATTAATTTCCCCATGTACCAAATAAGATAACTAAACCTTAGTCAGGGTGCCTTTGCTCCCTGGTGTCCCCAACTCCAGAGGTCTAGAGGTAAAGGAGTTACCAACACTTCTTTTCAAACAAGCCCCTCCATTCTTGGCCAGAGGTTTGCCCTATGCCCCGGTCCCAAGGCACCCTCATCTAAGCCCAATGGGGCCCATAGAATAGGGACCAGACTGGCCTGCTGACACCCTGCCCTGCCCACCTTGCCCTTTCCGGTGGTCATGTTTCATGTCTTTCCAGGCCCAGTCAGTTTTCATCCCTGTGGGCAGTCGCCCTGCTCTCCCCAGGCCTAGTCAGGGCCCCTTTGGGCACTTAACAGTGCCTGAGCCCACCTCCTCACCAAGCACCAATCACATCATATGGTCAATACTTGCTTCTTCATCTGAGTTTCCCTCTAGGTTACTGGAGAATGATAGAGGCCTTGTCAATGTTGATATCAGTATCTCAGCATCCTCAGTAATAGCTCAATTATAGAAGAGGTGCTTGGTCAAAGTTTGCTTAATGAATCAAGGGTTGGAGGAGAGGGCATAAAAACCTATTCTAACTCTATAAAACTCTAAGTCAATTGCCCTAGGTGAGTCATTTAATCTTTCCAGGCCTCTGTTTTTTCATCTGTTAAATGGGGATCATTAATTCTTGCCCTGCCTCCTCCTCAAGATTGCTGTGAGGATTAAACAGATGTGCTTTATATGATGCTATACTCAGTAACGCATTTATTCAATAAATATCAAGCCTCTACTATGTATGGGGCACACTCTAATATGATCCTAGTAATTCTTTTTTTAAAAAAAATTGAGATATAATTCAAATGCCATAAAATTTGCCACTTTAAAGTATACAATTCAGTGGTTTTTAGTATATTTACAGAGTTGTGCAACCATCACTACTAATTCCAGAATCCCAGTTATTCTTAGCAAGTGCTGAGCTGTAGCCTCCAACGCTCCTTAAGAATCCAGGTCTCTGGTTCTGGTTTTTCTACTTTTCTGGGAAAGCCCAGAGTGCCCCTTAGAAAAATTTCTCCAAGGCAGAAGTGGAGTAAAACATAAACACTCAGTATATAATGTGTTCCACTTAGTGAAACAAAGTTGCAGATTTTCCTGCCCAAGCCTTTCCAGAGCCTTCCCTCTCTAAGATGTCCTGAATATAGCAATTGTGCTGACCCTGGCCTCAGTCTCCCCATCTACTCCTTGGGCAGCAGGCTGAAACCCATGCCTCCAACATCCTGCAGAAGTATCCCCCATGACAAACAGCTCATCTTGTCCACCTTGTTGGAATAAAAAGGCCAGCCTGTTATGTCAGTTGAGCTTGGCAAGAGCAGTAGGTTGGGGCTGGATTTGGGAAACCTTCAAAACCACAACTGGTGAGTGAGGCTTTATTCTGTAGGCCTTAAGAAGCCTGGGAAGCTCTGAACTGGAGACATGATCCCCACACACTGGGCTGGACCACAGAGGGAATCCTGGAAGTGGAGAGGGACTGAGGAGCCAGCCAGAGGCTGTGTCAGTAGCTGTCAGCACTGAGCAATGGGAAGAAAGATCAAGACTCCTGGACACCGACTTCTATCTCCTAACCCTGATCTGTCATTTGTCAGCTGCATGACCTTGGAGAAATCACTTTCCTTCTCTGAGCCTCAGTTAACCCACCCACAAAATGGAGAAATTCTACCCTCCCTGCCTTACCTCTCAGGATTATGAGGAAATCAGATAAGATGATGAATTGAAAAGCCCTTTGCAGGAAAAATATAAAGGACTTTGATTTCAGTGATGTGAGCCAGGTGATATAGGCCATGGAGTTGAAAGACCCCCAGTGAAAGAATTCCTCTGCCTTTCTCTGCCTCTTTCTCCCTTATAGAAATGCTGGAATCTCTCCAATAAGTATCAGAAAATTCAGGGACCACAGAGATAACAGGCGTATAGAAGGAATTTTGGACATCTGGGCCTTCCCTGGGCAACATTCCTGAGGCCTAGGCCTCCCAGACAGCTCCTCTGGCTCTCAGGCAGGCAGCAAGCCAAGGGGAATGATCTGTTACCACGTTGGGGACCGTCTAGAGAGCAGTCAGCATAGCCAGAGTCAGTATGTCAGAGCCACTGCCACAGGATGGGCAAGAGCTGGGGAGGGAAGGGGCAGTTTTTCTTGTTGAGTCTCCCACACTTACATCCCTCCTTCAGGAGAAAATGACACAGCCACCTTTCATATGACAACTGTACTTGTGTCACTTTCCTCCTCTGAATCTCAGCTCCCTCATCTGGAAAGTGGTATGTTAAAATCCCTTCTGACAAAGTGGATGGGATTAGCTGGGAGAGGTGGGTATGTGAAAAGAGCCCCTCCTTGGGCTAGTGGCACATCCTTCAGCCTGCTGTCCAGGAAGGACATGGAGAACCCTCTTTCCCACCAGAACCAAACCATTCTGGTTCCTGGAGCTCTGTGCTGCCTGAGGAA